GACATTTAACACTCCAGATTGGGCATTATTTATATATTGTTTTCAGTTTGTAAGATAGCCTTTAATACAGTGGTCCACTGTATCAAATGCTTTTGATAAATCAAGAAATACTCCTAAAGTAAATTTATTATTTTCAAAACCATTAGTTATTTGATTTAATATTTCAATGATTGCATGCTCAGTAGAGAGATTTTTTTTGAAAACCAAACTGATTTGGGTAAAAAAAATTGTTTTTAATGAAGTAATCATAGATTCTATTATAAACTACACGTTCGAATAGTTTTGAAAATACAGAAAGTATTGATATAGGCTTGTACTTTGTAATGTCAGAATTATCATTACATTTGTACAATGGAGTTACTTTTGCTAATTTAAGTACATCCGGAAATATCCCAGAATTTAACGAAAGCTTTAGTATATGTATTAGACGTCTTTTAAGACTGTGTTTGTTTGCAATAACTATATTACTAGATATCTCATCAAATCCTGGAGCCTTTTTTTTTAACAAGGAAAAAGCTGCCTCGACTTCCTCATAGGTTAATTCATAATCAAGCATGATAACATTATTCCTTGGTTTAAGGAAGGTTTTAAATGATACAGATGTTGGTACTATTTTTTTTACATGATTTGGACCAATACTTGTAAAATATTTATTGAATTCTTCCAAAAAAATTTTTTGACTAAATATAACGTTGTTTTCAATAACAATTCGTTTAGGTAGAGAAGGTGAATTTTTCTCTTCCCATTATGACATTGATGATGGACCATTTTTTTGCAATCAAATTTGCATTTGTTAATTTGATTACTGTAATATTTTTGCTTTTTTTTGAGCACTTTAATAACGATTTATCCATCCACGGATTAGCAATTGCTTTTGACTTAATTCTTATAATCTCTTGCGGACAGGTTTGGTTAAAGTACTCCAAAAATGTACTTAAAAAAGCATTGTAAGCTCCATTCGTATCTTGACATTTATATACGTTGTTCCATGTTTCTTGTTTTAGTCTATTTGTTAATTTATTAGTGTTACTCATTTTTAAATTTCGTTTTTTCAAATGTATGATTTTGGAATGACAATCAGTCATAGCTTTTAGATTTTTTGTTTTTATGAAAACCGGGAAATGATCACTAATATCTGTCATAAATATACCGGTTTCAAATGTCGTTTCTAAATAGTTATTAATAAATATATTGTCTATTGCTGTTGCCGAGGTTTTTGTTACTCGCGTTGGTTTATTAATAGTTGACAAGACATTAAATTTAAAAAGCATATCATAAAAAGATTTTATTTTTGGAAATTTTGTGTTAGAAAGAGCATCAAGATTTATGTCGCCAGGAATATATAATGTTTTATTTTCTTTATTTATTTTTGTAATCGTATTTTTGATAAAAGTTTCAAAGGTTTTTATTTTTCCACTCGGTGGACGATAAACACATCCAGCTAAAACATTTTTCGGTATTTTTTATTAATAATTTCAATGAAAAGACTTTCATAATTATTATTAGAAAAGCATAGTATGTTTTTTATCTTGAAAGCATACTTTTTCAAGACATAAATTCCTAATCCTCCTCCTTTTTTCCCACCACCTCGTGGTTAACTAATTAGTTTGTATAATGGTAAAGAATAATTAAAATTTAATTCAAGAGTACTTTCTGTATCATGCCAAGTCTCTGAAAGAGATATGACGTCGAACGTGTAATTTAAAACATTTAAAAATTCTTTAAGTTTATCAAAATTTAGGTGCATGCTTTTAATGTTTATGTGTAATACAGAAAATGAACCATCGTCTGATTTTACTTTAAAATCAAAAGGATCAATAAACGGTTTGTTAATTAAGTTGATTTGAGTTTCTTGAAAAATATTTATGTTTTCTTCAGATAGATTATTTATAAAGTTGTCCTCAAAAAGATCGAAATTTAAATTATGAAAATCTAATTTCTCAGAAAAAAGCGACGCCATTTTTTAGTTTTTTTTTTTCAAAATAACTCATTTAAAAATATTCAATATAATAAAAAAAAATACTCAAAACGCTTACTCGTTGACGTATGTCGGATAAACATCTGTGTTGCGGGTGTTTTCTCGAAATTCGTGAACAATAAGTTTGTTGTAAACAACTTTCGCAAAATAGCCATTATGACGATGTATCTTCGCCTGATCAAAAAGTTCTTTTCGAATTTTTCCAGTTATGAAACTAAAATCTTCGTTTAAAAAAATATTAGTTCCTTTTAATTTAACTGCTCTCTCCATTATTGCTTTTTTATCCTCGTGATCACGGAGTTTCAAGACGATTGTTCGCTCTCGTTTATTATTAGTTGCTCCCACTCGATGAGCCCGTTCAATTATAATGTCTTTTTCAATACCAAGGTTATCTTTAAATAGTTGTTTTACCCTTTTTTTTGTGATTTCCCAATCTTTTTCTTCGCTATTTTCCACAAACCTGTCAATTCTTAAATTATTTCTTATGTTACGGTCTTCAATATCGACGCTTTTTAATTTTAATTCAATATTGTCCGAAGATATTTTAACCTGCATTTTTCTTACATTTGATAAATTGTCATGAACTTTATTTATTTTTTCCTCAACTGCTCTAGCTTTATCATTGAAAACATCGCCAACAAAATTTAAGCCAGATTTCATTTCATCAAGTTCTCGCCGAACTTCTTAAAAACTAGATTGAAAGTTATCAAACTTTTCGTTTACGCTAAATAGTGATAGAAAAACTCGTCTGTTCGCCACGAAAAATCAACCAGAACAATCATTCAAGTAAATTATTTCTGGTTATTATAAATTATTTCTGGTTATTATCAGCCTTTTGTATTCTCATTTTATATAGAATCTAATATGTACTATAGTAGCCATATATTCTCTATTCAACAAATACAAATTAATAATATGTTGTTTTAATATGTATAACTCCAAAGAAACATTTAAAACAAAATTTATTTTTGGGGTACACCTAAGGAATGCGCCCTTTTCAGTGTGCCCCCCCCCCCCCAGTTTATAGGCCCCTGTTAACATATAAAGTAGCTGTTTTCTTTTTAAGTTAAATATTAAGTACTACTTTTTATTTTTCATTTTTTTATTTTTACAATATCAATTATTAATACAATTTTCTGTATGTTTCAGGGAAAAAAATTAAAATTTTTTATTTATGCATGAATCCATGCGTAAATAAAAATGCATAATAAATGTTCTTAGCTCGAGTGACCGAACTTATACAATTATAGGATATTAATTTTTAATATTACATTATTATTGTAGGGGGTGTAGCTCAGTGGTAGAGCGCTCGCTTTGCATGCGAGAGGCCCGGGGTTCGAAACCCCGCTCCTCCAGATTTTTTTTAATGTAATTTTTGTTTTACTTAATATAATATATAATAATTTATAATAAAAGTTTACCATAAAGATTATATATCTTTGTATAAGATTATATTATTTTAAATAAAAAAAAACTATATTTTAATAAAATTGGAGGAGCGGGGTTTCGAACCCCGGGCCTCTCGCATGCAAAGCGAGCGCTCTACCACTGAGCTACACCCCCTGTATCAGTATATGCTATTATTTAATATATATATATGTTTAAGTTAATTTGACGACAGACGTATAAATAGATGGACGTTTAACGCGTTTCTATTACTAAAATTTTAAGCTAGTTATTATTTTTAGCGTTTTCTTTTGAAATAATTTTACAAAATAAACCGAGTTTTGGCTTTGATAACTTCGTTCAGTAAACAATTATCCGTAAAACATTAACTTTTGGGAAATGAAAATGCGCGTACCCAGCGTTTTTTGATGTTTCAGATACAAAATTTCCACACATTGTGCAAACTCCAAACTTAAGTATGCTCATACCTATGCCAAATGACGAAGTTTTGCAAAAATTTGGGACGGTGGAGGCCTGGGAACAAAAAGGCTCTAAAACGTTTCCCCCCCCCCCCTGCCCAAATGTGAGGGCACTAATGAAGTAATATTTTCAATCATAAACTAAACTTAAATTTATCGACAGACTTTAAATTTCATATAAAAATATTGTAAATTACAAAAGTTATGACCATACAAAACTTCCAACCCCCTCAAAATGAGGGGGTTTTTATGTAATTAAGAATATCGTGTTTGAAAATTTTCTGCAAGCTATTATTTATTTGTAAATAATATTTGTAAACTTTGACGTCAAAAATATTGTTTTGCTTAAAATGCGATATTTGATAAACTAATATAAATAGCGGAGAGGGTGGTAAAAAGTGTTCACCTTTGAACAATTTTTACACTTTTTATAATAAATCAAAAAAAAAATTATGTTAACAACTTTTTTTGTTTTAAGCAGTTAAAATAATCATTAAGGAAAGAAATTACTTCATTTGTATAAATTGTAAGTCAAAACTTAAGTCAGTATTCTCATTCTATTAAGGTGCGCGAAAATGTTCAAACCTGCCACAGCCTGGGGCAGTTTTGAATTTGCATGGAGCAGCTTTGAATTTCTTCTGGCAAATGTAAATAACTAGTGATTAAATAATTTTTTTTTTAAATGGAGCTGATTTTTTTTTTTAATTTTATTATGTTTAAGTTTCAAATAGCAAGGATCAAATATATATTCTATACAATCTAATCTTATAATCACTCTCAAGAGTTGACCAAACAAAAGTCATATGATTATAATTTTATCGAGAAACTTTCAAATATTGGAAGAATTTAGGATTTATTAGGAAGCGTGTTCACCATGTAGTAAAAAAAACAACCTCAAATAATTTTTAAAATAATCTTTACAAGCAACAAAACCATAACTTTAAGATATAAACTGTGAAAAAACAAAACATTGTGTAAAAAATAAAGCAAAAGTTAAGTTCAACATAAATTAAAGTTAAGAAAAAATATTAAAAACGTAATAATATATATATATATATATATATATATATATATATATATATATATATATATATATATATATATATATATATATATATATATATATATATATATATATATATATATATATATATTTAGATGCAAAAAATACAACTTTTTTCTTAAAAGCACTTGTGCAATTGCTAATTCCAAGTTGGATATTGCAGAGGACTGCTCAGAACTTCCAACAGAATCAGATATTGAAGCAAAAAAAAGGAAAGCGAAAAGGGTAATTTTTTTATTCTAACTCAATTTATTTGATTATTTCAGTAAATTGTTAACATGATGTTTAAAATTATGCTATGTGTAACAATATTCTATGTTATGATGTTCATTTTATCTATTGGTAATATAAAAGTTTATTTTATCAATAGATAAAATAAATACCAAAACATAATAACCCTATAACACAACAGTAGTCTCTGAAATAAAAAGGGTTAAAAACTAATTTAGGTCATTACCAGTTTTATGGAATGAATTGTGTAATTCAGATTCAGATTATACAAAATCTAAAAATGGAAAGAAGTTTACGGTATCAATTTCAACCTCACACATGGAGTTTCCTACTCCTCCTCAGTTGCAATCCGGTTAGATTTTTGCATTTTAATAAATATTTTACAGATCATTAATGATCCATCAACATTCTTAACATTAATAATTATAATTGTCCTTTAATGACATTTAAAAAAATAAAATATGTTTTTCTATTATACTATATTTTGTTTTAAAAAATATTTGATATTACAAATATGTTTATAATGCATTATTTGTACATAGAAATTCAAAATGGGCGTCTTCAAAATGCATCATCTACTATCTGCTCTCTCTCGTCATTATTTTTAAACGGTTTATCTTTTAGTAAAAAAGGTTGGTTAACACTTTTTTTTTTAACTTGAAAGTTTTACAATTTTTAAAGTTTAAATTATGGTTTGCAAACTGTCTGTTTGTATATGTGTGCTTGTAAAAATAAGCTTAAATATTTAATTAGACAACCAAACTACACTACCATCATCAATATTAACGCCAGTTCTTACTATAGCACTGCAAGTAGAGCAGTTATCACCTGATTTGGTCAATTGTCATTTTGGAGGTGTGTTTCATTTATTTATGCATTAGCAAATGATGAATTTGTTTGTTTGTTCATATGAACTTAATATATATAGAAAATATTTTCTTACTATTATTACTATTATTTTTATTAAATTATTATTATGCGTATTTAAAAAATATATATTTATTTTATTTTTCTTCGCATTTAGGAAATGATCATCGAAAACTAATATTATTAGAAGAGATTAAACAAAATAATCAAACTATAATTTTTCTTCTGCAACAATTATCAGCACAACAGCAGCGTGGTAATATAGAAACAAGTTTTGATGAGTTTGGGCTTCTTGTTTCATTAATGAAACATTTACAAAAACTAGAAACAGATTGCCTTGACAATGACCTCCGAGGAAAGCTTGTAAGATATTTGTTATAATTGTTTAGTTCCCTTATTCAAGTTACATTAAATTTTTTACATAGTAAATAATATCTTTTGAAATTGTTTTTTTCCTTTAAGATCTTTTTTATTCCCTTTAGTTATTTAGCTCAGTGTGGCGCAAGTTTGGCATTAAAAAAACTGCTTAAAAAAACCCGCCCAAAAAAACCCGCCTAAAAAAATTCTGAGTGTTTTTGAGTTTTTTAAAGATATTTAATAAGTTTATGAACTGTTATAACCAACTTTAATATTATTAACTATAATATTATTAACTAACATAATTATTAATTATTAATATTAACTAAATTATTATTAACTGATATTAATAACTATTATAACCAACAATAACATCTATCAGACTAATATTGAATCATTACTTGGAAATACATTATAACAATTTTTATTAAAATATTTTTATGAGTTGAGATTTTTTAATCTTTTATTTTATTCACCTACCTAGGTGAATTTTAATGAATATTAGTGGCCAGAGAAAGCCACTACAGTCGAGGAAGGTTACCTTGTGGTTACAATCTTCTTTCAACTCTTTAACTTCTAAACACAATTTTTTATAAACAAGGTCATTGCGCGAAGAAACAAGTTCGTTCATTTAAGTTTCAAGTTCGAATTTTAATTGAAACTTTAGTTACTACCTCCTATTCTATAGTCTTCTTTTTCCTATTTCTCATTGACATTTTTAATTACATAGAATAATACTTTTAAATTTAAATTAAACCAATACATATAGATTTAACCCAAAATAATTTTTTTCTATTATAGTTTTAAATTGTATTTAAAATCTTTTTCAAATTAATTTGAAAAGTTCTTATGAATTATTAAATAATAATATATAAATATATTTTAAATAAAATTAAAGTATAAAATTTCATTTAATTTTTTTTTTCTTTTTTCAATATCATTGAAAAAAAAAACAATTTTACACAAACGAAATAAAAATAAAACCCAAAAAAACCCAAGTTTACCCAATAAAACCCTAAATTACCCAAAAAAAAATCCCACTAAGCCGGTTTTTTTTAAAAAAAATTCGGGTTTTCACTGATTCAACTAAAAATATTATTATGCGGTTAATATCAAACAAGATAGCAGTAGTTAGTAATTGGGAGGGGAAGTATGCCTTTGGGAATAGCAAGCTTTGTCAAATTATAAATAGTGCGTTTTTTTTTTGTTTTGTTTTAAAAATGTCATTATTTCATCTTACTATTGATGTTTTTTTTATTAATATATATTTTTTAAGTATTTACTTATAATTTTTATCGTTTTATATAAATGAAAGTAAATGAGTTTATAGTTAATACTTATAAGTGTGTATGCATAATACATGTTTGTTTTATTTAGATGCTGTTCGGCGTAATCCTACAACATGTCGCGGTACGGATGCTAGGTTGCTTGTGCCATTAAAGCATGGCTTCGATTCGCGAAATTCGTGTGGAGAGAGGAAAAGAAACATCATTTTATCGATTTTAGTTATATAGTTTTATGTATAGTTTATGATTTTTTTGTATGTGTGTAATAGTTTAAATTATTTTGTAACGAATAAACATTTAACTAGAAGCCAACAAATTTATTAACTTTAACACTTTTATGTAACTTTAAATACTTTTACATTTTCAACTTTCATAATAACGTTAGTTCAATGAGTATCAAATCATCCCAGTCGTCACACAACGCGTTACTAACATTGTTGGAAACAATGCTTGAAGTCTTAGGCCAACGTTAATAAAATGCACAAATGCGAATACAATATAAAACTAACAGTGTGCCAACGCAATGCCAACAACATTGAGTATACACTATGCCAACATAGGCTCGATGGGCAGCCGATCAAATGCCAACGCAATTCCAACCTTTAAACATTATTACGCCAACATAACCCCTACAAACCCATACCAACGGTGCGCCAATGTTAAGTTGGCGCACCGTTGGTATGGTGCGCCAACTTAACATTGGCGTTATGCATTTACCATACCGTTGCGAAATGCATTTACCATACGAAATGCGTTATGCATTTACCATACCGTTGGTATGGTAAATGCATAACGCATTTCGTATAATTAACATTATACGAAATGCGTTATGCCAACGTGTCGCCAACTGTTTTACTTGGTTCGGCCAACGTTGCGCCAACAATTTAAAACCATAAGTGGGCCAACGTTGCGCCAACAATATTAGGTGTATGTTACGCCAACGTAGGCACGATGGGCAGCCAACCATATGCCAGCACGACGCCAACTTACGGCCTACCAAAACGCCTCGTAGGCCCAACAATCAGAAATACGTTGGGCCAAAGTTGGGCCTACTAAGTTGTGCTGCTCGGGAATACTCTATTTTCTTTATTTACTCATGGGGCAAAGATTTCATAAAGGTCCCAGAGACATTGATATCAACACCATAAACTCAATACTCAAGCAATATTTCACATATTCAGGCGATAACAGAACCAAAGATAAGTGCATTTCAAATTTGACAGATTTTTTTACCTTTGTCAAAACTTCTTTTTGCTGACAATTTTTTGATAAACTTTTGGCTTTTTGCTGACAGCGCAGGATTTATTTGAAAAAGATTTTAAATCATTGACCGCATAGGCGCCAAAGAAAGAACATTCAATTCGTTTAACCAAAGAAGACCGAAACCCTATTCCGCCCCTAACGACTACATTTATAAAAAAGATATTAAAAAGAACAATACATTGGTGGCAATGTATTGTTTTGCGACCAATGTATTGCTGGATCTTTAACGAGTAGTAATTGTATCAGAATACAATTTGCTACTCGTTAAAGATCTAGCGACACCTTTCCTTGCAAATGACAATTTGCGAAACCTGCTTGCCATTGTAAAATCAACTGTCATTGACACCTACAAATACGAAGATCGACAAAGACTTTATAAATAATTACCCAAAATTAAAATATATCGAACAATTTGACATGGTTCTCATTGAAGAACTAAACAAAATTAACGAATTAAAAGTCATGTTACGTAAATATCAATTACGTAACATGATTTAAATTAAATAAAATTATCAACAAAATTAATTATTTCTTAATATAACAACTTTTTATGAATTGGTTTTTCTTATACATATTGTGCATACTAAAAAATATATTATACATCTTATAGATAATAAAAAAAAGTCTATTTATAGTATTAAAAATAATAAAAATAATACTTTATAACATGATAATAAAATGAAATAATTCACAGTATAAGTAAACAAAATTAGCTTTCAAAGTAATGAACGTTTAAAAAAGAATGACAATTAAACACAATTAGACTTTATGAATAGTTAATTAACAAAAATAGTTATTAGAAAAAAATTTAAAAAATATCAATTTAAAAAAATTAATACTTATATATAATAAAAAAAAAAAAGTATAACATTAATTAAGCAATAAATTCGTTATTTTGTTTTCCGAAAATTCTTCGTGTTTGTCAATGATTCTAATCGATCTAATCGATACGATACGATAAATTAAATATGCTGTTAAGGTTTATCTGTCCCTGTAACTACATATCTTTTAGTATCTAAAATATTTTCGTCCCTGTAACTACATATCTTTTAGTATCTAAAATGTTTTCGTCCCTGTAACTACATATCTTTTAGTATCTAAAATATTTTCGTCCCTGTAACTACATATCTTTTAGTATCTAAAATATTTTAGTCCCTATAACTACATATCTTAGATACTAAAAGATTTTTCATTTTTTAACAGATTGCCATTGTCATTGTCTTTGTTATTGACCACCTTTTTATTTTTTAATAAATTATCTATGACGACATATCTTGAGTTTGATGACAATTGATTTAAATATCTAAAACGAGTAAATATTTAAACATATGTTTATCATTTAGATGTAATATATTTTTAAACCAAGTTAATAAAAGTTTTTTTGATATTTACTAAACATGATATTTTTTTTTAATTCGTAATGAACATATTTAGTACATATTGACCATGTTGATAAATATAACTATTATTATATATCTTTTTTCTTTATTTTTTTTTTTGAAAAAACATTTTTAAAAACAATTATAAAAAGGTTTATAATATAAATAAATTGAAAAAAAAAAATTAACAATTAAAAATAGATATGATTATTTAAAAAAAACTTTATTCCATGTTTTTATATATATTCTTTTTTTCTTTAAAAATAATTATCTTACATATACAATTTTGAACTCATATCCCATTTAATACGGCTTTGTCTTGAGTGTGCCCTGTCTTTTTTTTAATAAAAAAAATACACTCTGTACTTGGAAAATGCATTTTCAAATTTGCTCCATATTGACCACAAGAGTAGTAAATATTTATATTTAAATATTCTATGTCTTTGTTTACAGAAGGATTTGTCAACAAATCATTGGCCAATGAGTTCTATTAATTTTTTTCTCCATACAACCTTTATGGTAAACAATACTATTTTTTTACATAATATTTTAAGCAATTCCAGAACGTCTTCTCAAGTAAACTGCTGGTTATAAATATCACGAGATTATTTATATTCTCGAAATATTTATAAACAACATATTGAGCTTGCTGCAGATGGGAAGCTGATATTTGTTTGTTTTAAATAATTCATTTTTAATCTAAAAAATATTTAATACATTTTACACTTATCTACTTTACTTTATCTTGTGTTTGCGTTTTTAAATTTAAAATTTTAACACGAATCAAATTTTTTTGATGTCTTCAGTGCGATATTTTCTATCAATCTTATTTATATTTTTTCTTTTGTATTTTTGCAGAAACCATGGCCAAATATGCCGAGAATGAACTAGAAAATTGCGTTGGAGATATCCTGAAACGAGCGTCAACAGTTTTTAATCTTATGTATATCGTAATCCAAAAATATTTTAATCTGAAAAATATTTTTTAAATAGATAAGAAAAAAATTCCCTTCCAACCCTCTTCACCTAGTAAAGTTAACTTTTTTCCTAATACATTTAAAGCATACTTAATAACACTTAATAGCACATTTAACACACTTAATTACACTTAATAACACATTCAAAAGCTTCGATAGTTAAAGCCATAAACGTTTTTTTCTTCTGTCTCCTTCAATAGCTCGCGTGCCTTTCTATACTTTTTTTTATTAACATTTTTTTGCATTTTATTGTCTATATTTTCTAGAATGTAGAAATGTCTATTTTCTAGACACTGAGTTTAAGACATTTGTATGACAATTAAATAATTCTTCGTATGACATTTAAAATATTATTAAAAGGCAATATAATATTTTAATAAAATTTGATATAATATTTTATAGATAAAATTTAATTTAATATTTTAATAAAATTCTTAAAAAAAATACTATATTAAAATAATATTTTTAATACAATATTTTGGTAAAACAAAATGAAGATATTGGAAGTGTACAACATTATAAAAAAGCTTCTGAAACTTCAGTCGCAATTTGTTAAACGTATATACAGTATCGGACAAAACAAGTGCAACCAAATAATGCTAATTTAGTTTCTTTATATAAAGGTGCTGCATTTTTTCAATTTAGAGAAATAACTATGTAACTGTTTAGAGACAACGTTCTTCAAGTTTTATTCATCACAAAGTTCATTATTTGCACACGAAAATTAATAAGTTAATCAAAAGTATTTAAAAAAAGTTGATTTCTTTCTGGACAAAACAAGTGCAACTCCGCAAAATGTTGACCAAGCTGTATTTTGCTATCAATATTTCGTGGCGAATCCTTTGTTGTCGGTCACAGCCATGCAACTTTGAGGCATAGATTCGATCAGGTGATCAATGAAACTTTGTGGAATGGCTGCCCAGGCCTTTTGGATTTGTTCAAACAGTTGATCCTTATTACGAACATCTTCACGATTAATTCTGCAGTTGACGATCTCCCACAGGTTCTCGATAGGGTTGAGATCCGAAGATTGAGGCAGCCAATCCATCACCGATAGGTGGTTGTCTTGAAACCACTGCTTGACTACTTTTGCAGTGTGTTTCGGATCGTTGTCTTGCTGAAAATCCCACTTTATTGGCATATTCCATTCAGCATGAGGTAACATAACATCTTTTATGATATTTTTATACATAAAATGGTCCATTATTCCATCGATTCGATGTATTGGACCTAGACCGTTATCAGAAATACACCATAACATTATAGTCTGGGGGTGTTTTTTGGCAGTAACGTAAATCAAGGCGTTTTCCGGCCGGTCGACGTACACGGCAAATGCCATCGCTCCCAATGATGTTGAACTACGATTCATTACTGAACAGGACAGTTCGCCATTTATGCACATTCCAGTCAAGATGAGATGTAGCAAACAGGAGTCTTTTCATCTGGTTCTTTAGTGAAGTCATCGGTTTCTTTGCAGGGCGTCGAGAAAACAATCCGGCTTCAACAGCACGTTGTCTGATTGTTTGGTCCAATACAGGCAGCTCTAATTGCTTTTGTATATCGACTGATGATATCCAGAGATCATTCTTGACGGATCTGACGATCATAGAATCCTCTCTAGAAGTGGTGGAACACGGTCTTTCAACAACACGTTGTCTGATTGTTTGGTCCAATACAAGCAGCTTTTA